ATATATATATATATATAATTCGCATTAGCAAATTTTTTGCTAATGCGAATGCAAACATAGGGAGAGTGGGAACAGTCCCTATGTTTATGAGAACGGGTCTTCGGCAACCTGTAACGCCGGGTAGGCTTCTAAGTTAAGTAAGGTAATGAGTCGGACAGAAATAAGCTGAGAAGTCAATCAACAATCAAAATTTCAAATTATTCTACGGTCGGATATTTAAAAAAAAAATCTTTAAAAATTCTCATGTTTTCATTCCACGTTTTTATTTAAAATGCCTAAAAAAACGAAGTTTAAAATTAATGATTTTGTGTGGGCGAAAATGAAGGGATATCCTCCATGGCCAGGAAAAATAATAGGCGCTAAAAAACACAGATTCTATGTTTACTTTTTTGGTACAGAAAATTACGGCTGGGTGCAAGTGAAGGATTTATATCCATATGAAGAATTTGTGGAAGTATTTTCCTTTGGTATAAAGTTGCCAGCCCTCAAAAGAGCTGTAGCAGATATTATTAAATGTTATGATGAAGAAAGGACTAGTAGTGACGAAATTGATGACGATATACCGCTGAGCCAAGTCGTGTCATCTGTCTCAGATGAAGATGTACCATTAAGTTCTTTTGTCCAAAATGAAACTGATAACTTTCAAAGTAATTCTAAAGTTCAGCAGTCTGATGAAATGCGATATGTGCTAGATAGGGGTACGGGTACCTGTAAACTGGCACGTGTAAAACACACCAAAAGAGTCTCGTACGAAAATGAAGATCATAGATATATAATCTCTGTTTCAATTAATGATGAGGTCGCCATTAAGAGTTTGATTCCTAAAGAATTGATAGTTTGTCTCGATCGTTGTGATAAATGATTGTGTAGTCTACTAGCACACCAAAATCAACTGCCATCAGTTTTCAAGTATTTGATGTATTTCCAATTTTATAGCAACAAATTTGGTTTACTGTTAATTTGTGATAGAGATTGGGGAAGACATTTTTGCTGAAATATTTGATATCTAATAATTAGATTTCTTGAGCTTATTTTCTTAAAAGAACATCCCTATTTTAATGTTTTCACTTGAAAATGAACTCTTTATTTAATCAAGGAATAACTCATTCATTGAATTGTTTATTTTATATATTGTATATAGTTTATGGAAAATCATAATTTTTCATGAAGGTTTTTTTTTTTTTAAATCATGTTCACAATTTATCTCACAGTACTTTGGCAATCAAGGTAGGAGAAAATCATTTATTTTTGGTCTGTACTTTACTTTTCCTAGTATGGTGAAAAAAGATGATGAGCCATTTTATTAGGTTTGTTAATTTTGTATTGTTTATTTATTTTCTTAACTGCAAAGTTGTTAGACATAACTATGTGTGAAGACAATAAGTATTTTTTGCACTCCAAATGTTGAGATATATTAGTTTGACTCATTGATTAATATTAGGAAAATCAGTTTTTTTAAGTCAAAAAACAAGATAAAAGCCAGGCTGAATGTTCAAGTAGACTCAAAAGTTTCTTTTGAACAAATCTAAAAGTTCTGAAACAAACAGCTTCTCCCATTATTAAGGTATACTATTTCCATTTTTTTATCCACAGAGACATTATGTTACTGGGTAATTAAGGTAAAAAATAAGTTACATAAAATTTCATAAGTCTGTCCACATCAACCTATCTCTTTATTTTAAATCAAAGAAAGTTGGATACAATGGAAAAGGTAAAGCCATGACATCTGTAATTGTATCAGAAATAAAAATTATATGTGATAAAAAGGAAACTTGTATAACAAGATTCCTTGTTTTACAAGAAGCATATTATGTGGTCCTATGGCAAATGTCATGAATAAATAAACATATTTCAGATCTGTTGTCAATTTTAAGGAACTAGTACAGTAGGGAACCGATTATTCGGGACCATCGCTGTTCCGGATAACTGATTTTTCCGGTTTTCTGAATCGCTACAAAAAGCCGTTTGTTTATTGTTAAACCCAACAAAAAAAATATTAATTTTTGGAAATAATCTTAAAAAGAAGAAAAAACGATGAAGGAATACACTAATGATTATTTCCAAAATGATGGTAAGGTAAACATCTTTCAAAAAAGAAAAAAAAATCCTAAAATCTTATGAGGAAAAAAAACTTTTTTTTTTAATGAAAANGGTAAAGCCATGACATCTGTAATTGTATCAGAAATAAAAATTATATGTGATAAAAAGGAAACTTGTATAACAAGATTCCTTGTTTTACAAGAAGCATATTATGTGGTCCTATGGCAAATGTCATGAATAAATAAACATATTTCATATCTGTTGTCAATTTTAAGGAACTAGTACAGTAGGGAACCGATTATTCGGGACCATCGCTGTTCCGGATAACTGATTTTTCCGGTTTTCTGAATCGCTACAAAAAGCCGTTTGTTTATTGTTAAACTCAACAAAAAAAAATATTTTTTTTGGAAATAATCTTAAAAAGAAGAAAAAACAATGAAGGAATACACTAATGATTATTTCCAAAATGATGGTCAGGTAAACATCTTTCAGAAAAGAAAAAAAAATCCTAAAATCTTATGAGGAAAAAAAAAATTTAAAAATGGCGCAAAAATTTATCGAATTTTGTTCCGGTTTTCTGATTTCCGGATAACGGGTTCTATATTGTAGTAATACTATAAATATGTGCAAATATTTTTGAAATTTAAGGACAATTATATTTTATAATATTTCAGTATATATCTTAAAACAGTATATCAAAAATGTAACTAACTAACAAATTCAGCTTTTCAAATGCAACCTGACTAGTTTTTTAAACTTTTTTTATGACAAGAAAAATTTTGATAATAATCACTGCTTCTTAAGATGCATTTTAGTATATCACTGACCATATCAATATTGTACATTATGTATATTAATATGCTTGCCTGTAAGCATCATTCATATAAACACAACAATGAATGTCAAATCATTTGAGAACTGGTACAGCTTGTCTAAAAATAATTTCAAACTATGATAAAAAAAATAATTGTAGTAGTATTTGTTTATTTCAGCATTTTATTTAAATTTTTTAAGACTTATTTAACATTTTAAAAATAGTTCTAGATCACTTCTAATATTATGTATAAAAGTTTTAATTTTTAGAGCTGGTATCTATGTGATAGTGCATATTGTTCAAATCTCATAATTTTCTTACATTTTTTTTTATTATTTGTATTAGCATACGTTTAAGGTTAAGGCATAGTGGACAACTATATCTCAGGTAACGGAAGATTGATTTGTGGTGTTTATGCTTAATACCTATAAATCATAACTCAACTCATGATAATTACTTCTCTTTATTACCTCTATGGGTCAGTCTCCTGACATGGAGCTTGCGCCAACATATTTTAGCAATCATGGTTGGCATGGTTTAAACCATGGTTTTTTCCCAAGAAACTGGTTGGTTTTTGGGGAAATAACAAAAAATGGTTTTTTCCCAAAAAACCTGGTTTTTTGCCAATCCTGTTAGCAATAGCGTACAGAAACAGGCAAAGAAGTTTTATCGGTTTCAATCTTGAGAAGAGTTGATTTATACCATATAACCTTATCTTTTTGTTATAAGCGAACAATTTTGTGTTGAATTAAAAACAGCCTTTTCATTTTAATACAAAATATTTTCTAACACTGTACCGACAGTATTTGTTATTGTAAATTTTTCATCAAAATAAAAATTTATGTAAAGCATGCGTTTAGAAATTGAAAATTTGATTGGTGCATTTTAAGCAGAATGATCAAACCAGATGCAGTAAAAATGTAAGTTTAAAAAAAAATCATGAAATGTATTTTATTATTCTTTAATGTTTGAACATTTTTTTATTGTTCCTTGTTTTTTCTGATGAAATTATTTAATGAAATATTGCCTAAAGAATTATTATTAAGTAAAGAAGAATCAAGTGAAATCTTTGAATGGGATCTTTTTTAAAAGTCGACCGTTAAATGACTGTTGATTTTTCAGATATTGAAAGAATTAGGAGCGAACTCCAAAATTCCCATGTGGTGGAATGGACCCTCCATCTCTTTACTAACTACTTTTTACTGTATGACAACTACAAAAACTTTCATTTCATTGAAACGGCATATAATGCTTTTGATACTTGCTTGAGTTTGTTTACTTTGATACACTAATCAAATTGCCTAATATTAACATTTTCTCCATCACAGCCTGGAAAATTCTTCATTCTCCTTTTCATCACACATTCACATCATCTTTAACTTATTGAATTTTTAGATATATCAATTTCATTTCATAAAGGATGCAAGTAAACTGAATTGTTTATACTTTCTTTTTTTCATGAATTCAAACTGTATCAGTTGTATGTCCTACCATGATCAAATGTGATATCTGGTAACTATAAATAACTTTTTTCTTTATATTTAAAGGTTCTGTTACTTAAGAAAAAAAATTAAATATTTTGTAGAGTGTATAAACGTTTACATCAATATTGTTAATCATTTGTCTAGGAAACTAGTTAAGTTTATTTTTAAAATATGATTCAATTTTAAATAATGCAATGCTTGATAATTTTGTACATATAATTGTTACCATGAATTCGAATAAGGATGTATTTAAGCCAGGTAATTTAGATTTAATTTTAAAAAATGAAATCCTTGATTTAAATCTATTTACGATAAATTATTGTTTTTTGTTTTAATTGAGAAAAATATTTAACTCAAGTTTTGAATTTTTTTAACTTTAATGTTTAATTAAACTTTACATGTTATTGTTTGATGTTATAAAAGTGTCACTATTAATATGTTTATGCAATGTGCATTATTGATTTGCTTCAAACTAAATGTTATTTGTATTTCAACCAATTCACTAGCTTGATTTAACTTTTAGACTTGAATAATTATTGCATTAGCTTTGTTTTGCAATAATATTGATAATTTCTAATAGTATATGCAATAATTAAAACTAACATTATTATTTTTTGAAAAAATAATGTTTTAAAATTTGAAGATAAAATTTGAGATGTGCCTCTCTTTAGTATTTGAACAATAAGTATTTTCATCTTTTTTTATTTTTTTTTTCAAAGATAATGCATTTTAAGAAAAAAAAATATCCTCTTTTATTTTAGTTTTTTGATAAATCAAAAAGGGGTGATAACAGTAGAAAACATTTCTTATAAATATTTAATAGTTTTCACTTTATTTTGATAATATTTCTTGAAAATGAGTAATTTATATATTAAGTACAAATTTTGATTGTACAGATGTTCAAGTTTTAAAAATACACATTTTTAAAGTTTGTATAAATTTTTTTCTAAACTAACTGCTTTTATTGAAGCTCTCTTGTGCTCATAAACACTTGCTTTAGAATATCATGTTAAATTGATAGAATAATCTACATCAGGTGAGTTGCAATACAACTTGTTAATATACAGTCATTAAATCTTCCTCATTTTCATGGAATTTTCTAAATTTGAAGGTAAATGTCTAATAAATCTAATCTTTCCGATAATTTATTTTTAATTAAATTCATTTTGAAAAGAAAAATATTTAAATCCATTAAATCAATTTTAAGTCCATTTAATTAGTAACTTTATTTTTACAAGAATAATTTAAGTAAATATAAATATTGTGTGATACTCTTTTAAAACGTTATTAGTTACACCAATTAGTTATAAAAGTTTTAATGTAGGACCTTATCTTTTATAATGTTGTAATATAGGGGTGCGCAACCTGCGGCCCGCGGAACAAGTGCGGCCCGCGAGAGCTTCTAAACACAATAAAAAATTATTTTTAAAAATGGCAATTTTTAATCGCATTTTTAAGTCATCACGTTTTGACACAATCAATTTTAACAGATTCTTTAGTAAATGTACTTTTAACGCGCTTTCT